ATAAATGAGCCAAACCCGAAGGTGCTTAGGCCCATATTGGTCGGCTCCTACATGTTCAGGCAGGTATTAGCAATAAACCCGTTAAGAGCTGACTTTTTATACCCTTTAACAAACAAGGATGTCATCGCCAATTACTGAGTTCAGCTAAAAACCAGTTTGAGACAATTCACCCTTATGTACAATCTTAATCCAGATAAGATTTACAATCACCTTTCTTCCCAAGGCCATTTCTCCCCTCTTTTTTGATGTCCAACAGTTTTCCCATTGTACCTGGGTTCACACAGGCTTTAACACTGGTATGTGGGCTGGGGAATGGCTGTGTTAGCTCATTTTAAGACAGAGTCTCTTTGATTTAAAACCATCTGCAGTCACCCCAACTGGTTAGAAGTCTTCGTTTTAGAAACTTCCCCTTATCTTATTAGTTATTCTTTGAACCAGACATCCTCCCTACTTTATTCCTTCTGGCCTTACCACTTACTATTTTCAAGGCCTTCCCTTCTATTTGCTAGCCAGGCCCTTTCTTTACCACACATATATATTTCCTTAATCAACCTTAAGCTCACTTTCTTTCTGTAGGATAAATATAAAATTAAAAAATTAAACACTAAATGTCAGTTTTGCAGCTTACAGAGTATATTTCTGTCAGTATGAAAAGCATTTTGAGTAGATTAGAGCTTTGGGGGTAATAACTGGGTGAGATTTTACTTCAAGAAAATTTTGTGGAAACCAAATAAAAAAAGCATTTGCAATATTAACAGTCACTCCAGTTTGTCAGATTTCACTTTTGCTATAACTCTCTGAATTTAACAGGGCATTAGTAAAAGCTTGTGAAATTTTCCCTTGTTTGCTGACTAAAAATGTGGTTCAATTACATTTTAAAAGATGTAAAACATGCACTATATTGGATTTTTTTTTAGTCTTTTAGGACAGAAGGGTCCTACTGAACCTATACTAAGTAGTGCATTTTACTAGTATTTATCTGGTGGGTCTGTAGAACCAAAGCATTCACGCAAAAACAATTTAGAACATGTGCATTTGCAAACAAAGTGTGCCTGATGAGGGCTTACCTCAGTTTATATCTGTACAACCTCACTGATTTTAATGCAGTTTAATGGGTGAACTGAGGGCACAAATTAGCCAGTACCTCCAAGAGAGATTTGAACTATTCCTCACACATCACAACAGGGTGTTAATTCTGAATCACAATGACAACATATTTAGTATCTATTTCTCTGCTAATTGTTCCAGCACACATATAGCTACTCTCTAGAACTGTGAGTGAAGTTTAGGATTGTAGGGGACGCTTCAGCAGAGTAAAAACAAACAAACGAACAACTCTCAACCACAACTGGGACAAACTGATATTTTCCCACCTACCAATCCCATCCCTAGTTCATCTTTTGCCAGATTATGGCAATACAAAATCCTGCTCATCCCCTACACGTGTCCCTATTGCCCTGTCCCATGCCTCATCATTTTGTCTCCATTCCTTCGTCACTGTATAGGGTGATAGTGAGAGGGGTTATGCACAGAGTAGCTGACAGCTTTGCTGGTAAGGTCCCATCACTACATGATTTGCACTCAGGTTATGTTTCAATGTTATCTCCATCCTTCCTTTTTTCTCTTTATCAAGATAAAAGCCACTTATGTCTGCTAACAACGAATAAAAAATGTGTTCACAAATACAAATGTATGTTTTTATTGGAAACAATACTGGAAGAGCGGGAAGGAGCCTCTTCACCACTCTCTTCTAAGTGTTTCAGGAGTAAAATTACTGGCAAGTACATCAGTAACACAAGTGAATTTCACACCAGCTGAAAAATGCCATGACTGACCAAGTACTGTGAGATAATATTTATGCAGGAAATAATGTAATGATTGATGTAACTTTATGGAAGTATGACTGTAGAAGGTGCTATTCAGAGCTGTAATTCCATGCTGGTGCCTTCATTCCTTTGCCTTTTAACTCACCTTCACAGGTTTTACCATCCTTTCCCAGCGTTCGCCCGATTCCACATTCGCAGCGATAGGAGTTCTTCAGATTCACACAAAACTCACTGCAACCTCCATTATCCTGTTCACATTCATTCTCATCTGCAGGAAGCAAATACTGTAATACACAATTTTGCAACACACAGCCTGTAAAATGGGTCTGATGAACAGGGCTGCTGGTAAGAAATTGGACTTTATTTTCTGGCCCAACTCACACGAGCTAGGTCTAGGCATCAATACCCCTATCACATAACAGGGGTCATAGCCACTGACTGCAGCCAACACCTCTGCTACTCAAACGGTGACATGTACACAGAAACTGTTTCATGGGGAGGATGACAGTATGCAACTTCCCCATAGTGGACGTGTTAATTATTTGAGAGGGGATGGAAAAGGTAAAGGTTGCCTTTGAATCTCTTGGCTGAGCCCCAAGAATTCCTCCTAATTTTTCCCATTTTACAACTACCCCTGAAGCCTGTAGTTTCTCTTCCCTTTTGAGCTGAAAGGCTCATTCTTCATAGGGAATCCTGGTTCTTTAAACTTGATTTACTCTTTGCCTGCATGCAATGAATACATTAAAGGGGTGTGTGTGACAATTTTTCTAAGTCGAAGTAAAATGACAAAGTTATCTATCAGCCAAGCTTGGATTTTCTCTACACAGCTTACTTGTTATTATTTACTAGCTGACAGAAGCTAAAAATAAGGAAAATGTAGTTTTAAAGGACAGTACAGAGATGAGTTCTTTTAGGTAATACTAGTCCTCACATGCCCCACACAAACAGTTTGTAACTGGTGCCATAATCTACTTCCACAAGTGATACAAGCTTGATGTTCTTAGCTTAAGGAATAAGCTGCAACCCATCCTTTACCCTTGAAGGGAAATGTTGAGTGAATTTAGGAGGCACAGAGATACTGCTTTTCATAGAGATAAGGCATGTTGATCAATTTCTTTCTCTTTTTTTTTTAAATGCTTTGGGTTGAAATTTAGTGTTTATGAAAATGAGATATGATTGGGCTGGCTAGAGATAGACCTAAAGCAGGAAAAGGCTGTGCTGAGTTCTTTCAATGGCTCTACTAAAGGCTGTACACCTTCAACGTTATCCAGCCAGAGACCCTGTAAATCTAATCTTGTAATTCCACAAAATTCTGCCCACAGACTTTAATACTATCTTGCTGGTACTCTAGTTCTGCTTATCAAAGCAGAGATGATCAACATGGTGATTTCATGAAGACAAGTGTCACTTAGCGGACGAGGTTGACAGACAGTAATTTCAGCTATGACAATCTGGGATTGACTCAAGGTCTCCAAGAGGTGAAAAGCGAGTGGGTAAATAGTATTATTAACCCACTAGGATAGGTTGGTTTATGGCAGGAAGCCTAAATCCTAACTCAAACTCATAATTTAGTTTGCAGGTGAATGTATTTAATTTAAGAAAACTGAAAAGAATTGCAGGATCTGCAGTTCAGAACTGGGATTCAACATTTTATTATTATATATACACACACACACACACACACACTATATTGCATAAGTGTATTGCATAAGTCAGTCTAGTTCAGTGCTAGACAGAATTCCCAGATGCTGCTGTTTAGTTCTGGAGCTGCATTCCCAGCCCACAAGTGGCTGGAGAAGAGGGAATATCCCCAGTGAGAAAATAGATATGGGTAATTTTAATATTAAGGCCAGACTGATCGTGTTCAAAATAAATTTGAATTTAGTCACATCAAAGGATATTCATTAGAAAGATGAATGAGTCATATGGCTTTAAAGACTACAGGCAGAACAACTGCAAATATTACTTCTGAGAGGTGGTTGTGGCATCTGGTTATCATGCAGAGGAAGTGTGGTATGGAAATCCTACCCAGCCCTGCCCATGGATCCACATTCGTTGCTGTCCCTGGCAGAATGTTAAATTCCAAAATTTTTAGGCAAGTGTGAGAAATCAGTGAGTCGGGATTTCCATTTTCTCCATTGTCATGGGAAACTTATCAGTGAATGGGCCCAATCCTGCAAGTCAATGAGAGTTCTGCACACAGATGGCATGTATGATTGGGTCCAATAAATGTTTTTAATTAAATGGAAAAAAAAAAAAGCAATGCAGGAAGTAAAGGCAGCAGAGTCAATTCTGCATCAGGGACAGGACTACTAAAACTCCTCAGGAAAAACTGTGTGTAGAATCAAATTGTGCATATATTTGTTGTATATTTCCTTCTGTTTTTTAGCGCTAGGAATAAATCTCCGAGAAGGCATCTTTGTGACTTAAATATCTGCTCCCAGATGGTTATTACACACTAGAGGAACCATTTGCGGTTCATGTCAGAGACCTCAGTGGCTCATGGGATTAGTAATGGGGTACACAGACTTTCACTTTGAGGTCACTGGTGAACTCCAGCCCATGTCAGCAGGGATGAAGTTATTACCATCTTCTGACTGTTCAGTGACTTAAGTGAAATGGCCTGATGGCCTCAGTCCAGGAGTGAAAAGATATTTACAATGCAAAACCCACTCTGACAATTATCAGTGTCAACAAAGAAACCAACGGTTCTCTCCTCTATCGAGCTGATCTCCCACAGCTTTGGATTGAAAGCATATTGGCAAGGCTTTAAATTTGGGGAAATTTGCACTGCTGTTCTGTGGACATATAAAGGGAATCAGTCTGCAGGGCTGTCAGTCCAGCACCTTTCTCCAGTGCTAAATTCAGTGGGGAAAAAATAACACTTCTGTCTGACAGTGTGAAGGTCAGAAGAAAGCACCAGCTATTTGATCAATCTTTTACCACCAGGTATTTATCACGGATTTAAGTTTTAATGGATAAAAGTACACACCACATAGTCTATGGACACAAGATATATTAAAAAGATAAAAATCCATACATATTTTGCAGACTAATGACAATATTGGAAAAGACTCATTCGTCATTCAACATTATACCTAATCCCTTCTCCACCATAATCAGATCATAATGAAAAAGCCCAGGAGCAGACAGATCTCACCATTAGTCCTGAAGGCCAACAGACTCAGGTTCTGGTGGGCCAGAAGAGGAAGAAAGTTCCCGGGTGAGGCCCCTTCACTGAAAAAACACCAGCCCCATGCCACCTAAGTCTGGGAACTCTTACCTATTGGTCACAGATTATCAAGCATAGTCTCTCTGCCTCCAAGCTACATTTGCAGAGACAGAAATCTAAAAAATCCAACAGGTGATATGAAGATACTGAGTTCCAAGCCCTGGATAGGGCCCTGCAATGACAATAAGATTGTCAGCATCACCAATCTTAGCATGTAGCAATGTGACAGTGAATGCAACTGTTTGGAGGACTGAGGAATCCCACAGAGCCATGAAGGAAAAGCCTCTCATGACAGACTATGAGCCTATTGTAGAATATGAATGAGCAGTGACCTTCCAAAGCAAACCACCACTGACAGCAAAGCTGCTGCCCCCTGATTAGCTCTTCATTAAACCAACGGCTGGTCCACACAGAACGCAAATTCACTCTCAGTAACTATATGGCCTCAGGGACACCAGGATAATGGTCATTCAGGTGCTGAGTCAATGGTGGAAAACTCCAAAGGTGAGATCACTGACCTGCAAACAATGTGGACTTGTTACAAGCAACAAGGGCTAAAATTAGTCCCAAACATATCTGTCTCGCCACCCTTTTTTTTAAGCAATTAACTGGGAGATGAATAACTAAAGGAACAGAAAGGAAACATCAGTAACTTGTTTAGTCCCTTTTCTCCTCACATTTCCTATGTCCCTCTGTTTCTGCCCTTACCAAGACAGGTCTGTCCATCAGGTCCCAGTGTAGTCCCCAAGGAACACATGCAGTCTCCGGTATCCAAGCAGGAGCCATGGCAATCCACCACATCACAGATATCATAGAAATCTACAGAATGACAAGAGCACTGTTCATCTAGAATACTGAGAATCTAGACAACTAGTTCTACCATTAGTGCTATGAGTTTCATGCCCTCAGCTAAATTGATAAGTTACAAGCCCGGCCTACATTAGAAAAGCACTGGTCCAATTAAATTGATTTTGAATGGATCTGTTTAAACTAGTGTAAACTCCTAATGGAGAGACATTTAAACTGGTTTAAAACTCATTTAATTTGGACTATCTTAATTTACCAATTCAAATCTAGTTTTGGTAATTTACAGACACAATCTAATCCGATTTAAGTGAGGGTTAAACCATTTTAAGTATGTCTACATTAGAGGTTAGCACTAGTTTAACTAGATAGATTTAAAATTGATTTAGTGAAACAGTTGCAACTTTTCTAATATAAACAAGCCAACAGTTTATGCTGCATCAGTCTGACAAGTTTTTGTGCAAGAAGAAAAGAAATCAGTCATCTTCTCTCTCAGGTATAGAGACATCTTCTAGGCCAAAGGAGGTTTTCCTGCTTGTTATTTATGTATTTATATAAAAAAAATTCAGGTCCCATATCTCCCTGTTTTTCCTGGAAGACTTTGTGGATGACTGAAGAACTAGTAAGTTTATGGGTTTGATTACATGGGGAAAACAGAGACTTTTTAAAGTTATAATTAAGTAGTTGAAAGTGTCCCACAGAATCCGGAACTCACCCCAAATCATGGAGATTTCTGGGTTCTGTTGTCTACTCAGACCTCAGTCCAGTTCTGCGAAAGTCATAGGTAGGGCCCTACCAAATTCACGGTCCATTTTGGTCAATTTCTTGGTCATCGGATTTTAAACATAATAAATTTCATGATTTCAGATATTTAAATCTGAAATTTCACGGTGTTGTAACTGTAGGGGTCCTGATCCAAAAGGAGGTAGTGGGGGGTGGGTGTTGCAAGGTTATTGTAGGGGGTGTTGTGGTATTGCCACCCTTACTTCTGGGCTGCTGCTGGCGGCGGCACTGCCTTCAAAGCTGGGCGGCCAGAGAGTGGCAGCTGTTGGCTGGGAGTCCAGCTCTGAAAGCAGCACCACTGCCAGGAGTAGCGCAGAAGTAAGGACGGCATGGTATAGTATTGCTACCCTTACTTCTGTGGTGCTGCTGGCAGTGCTGCCTTCAGAGCTGCGCGCCAGGCCAGCAGCTGCCACTTTCCAGCCAGCTCTGAAGGTAGCACAGAAGTAAAGGTGGCAATACCACGTCCCTCCTACAATAACCTTGCAACACACACAAACACACCCTGCAACCCTCTTTTGGGTTGGGACTCCCAGTTTGAGAACGCTGGTCTCCCCTGTGAAATCTGTATAGTATAGGGTAAAAGTATACAAAAGGCCAGAATTCACGCTGGAGACCAGATTTCACAGTCCATGATGCATTTTTCACGGCTGTGAGTTTGGTAGGGCCTTAGTCATAGGAGCTGGGCTGGTGCTGTTTTCATAGCCTGGGCTTTCCTTATTCTCTTTAGGATACCTAATTTCTAGGCACAAGGGAACACCTCCACTTTTCAACTGTTTTGCAGCATTGTCATTGTGGAGTCCTCACTTCACATATCAACAGTGTGAAAGGCCAAGCCCTCTAGCCCCAGAACCCTCCTTTTCTTGAGAGCTGTCAGGAAGCCCTACCCCTGCTTTCTGCTGCCAGCTCTCCTCCTGCGGGAGCATGGAAATGCCATCACAGATTCTGAGGCCAGAACAGACCACTATGATCATCTAGTCCAGGGGTCGGCAATGTTCGGCACGCGGCTCACCAGGGTAAGCACCCTAGCGGGTCAGGCCAGTTTATTTACCTGCTGACGTGGCAGGTTCAGCCGATCGCGGCCCCCACTGGCCGCGGTTCGCCGTCCCGGGCCAATGGGGGCGGTGGGAAGCCGTGGCCAGCACATCCCTCGACCCACGCCACTTCCCGCCTCCCCCATTGGCCCGGGACGGCGAACCCCAGTGAGTGGGGGCCGTGATCGGCCGAACCTGCAGCGTCAGCAGGTAAATAAACTGGCCCGGCCCGCTAGGGTTCTTACCCTGGCGAGCCGCATGCCGAACGTTGCCGACCCCTGATCTAGTCTATAGACCAGAAGGGACCACTGTGATCTAATCAATCACCTTCTGTATAACACAGGCCATAGAGGATTTCCTACCTAGAGTCTGAGCTCAGGGTTTGGGGAAAGACACAGGGAGCAGCCTGTCTTGCGTGGCCACTGTGGGCTGGCACCGTACTGCAGTGCTGTGACTAAGAGGCTAATGTTGGAGTGGCACTTGGACTGTTTGTTTGCTGATAAAGGTGCTGGAGTGATTTCTGGGTGCATTCCTGCCTCCCCAACGTCAGTAGGATTCCCCACCCCAAGGCAGGGGGTGGGAGTTAGGAACTAACTACCAGAGAGGGGAAACCCCCAACACAGTTGTCACTCAGAGAATCACAGAAAAGAATAAAGAGATTGTCAAAGAAAAGAAAAGGACCCTCATGGTTACTTACGCCCACAGTACACATGGAAGCAGACACTAGGCTTGGTTAAGCGGTAGACATAATACCCGCCGGGACATGCCTTAACATCAATCGTGGTGTCCCAAAGGCAGCAGTTCCCCTTGAAACTCGCACAGGCTTGTCTTTGGACAATGCCATCCAACTCCCTAGGGTGGCTGCCGTTTAGCCAGATGGGGGCATGCGTCCCGCAGTGGTTCTCTGGGATGCAGAAGGTAGGCATGGCATCGCCAGCCATGCCAGTGAAACGGTACCACTCCCCATCAATGTGGCTATCGCATGTAGGCTGGTCACGGGAACCATTTATCTGGTGATCAGTGTTCCTCCAAGGCTCATTCAGGCTGATATAGGCAGAGCAAGGATCCAGGGCTGAGTCATATGATAAGAGAGAAGAGGGAGAACCCAGTGATAATCAAACCATGTTTACTGACTGGTAACTGTAGAACTCAGAAAATAATTTCAATTTTATTTTTCCATTCCTAATATAGCAGAATCTTCTTAATGGACAGAGATCCCAGAGGAGGCAGAATGATGCTGGTAAAGTGTCAGTTTACCAGAAGCTCAGAGGAGTGAAGTATTCTGAAAGTTCAACTTAATTAAATCCTTTAAAAACAAGTAACGTAACGGAGCATTCGAGCACTTAAAACACTATATGACAGTAAGAATGACTTGCAGAGTAACTATTGTATAATGGGTGCCTCGAGCATAGCAGAATGAAGTGAACCAGTGGAAAACGTTCTCGCAAATTCAAGTTCTGACTGATGACTAAGCTTGCAGGGAACATCACGTGGACGATTTATCCATTATTTAAGCATAATTGAAATGCCTTGCATAGCATCAGTTCTTTGGCATTCATCCACTTGCTGGGGCCACATAAGTGTCTGACCCACTGGAGTCAATTCTAATTCTCCCCCAGATTTCAGGAGGAGGAGGATTGAGTTCCAAGTGGATTTTGAGGCATTTATAAAATCCATAAAAAACATTCAACAATAGCACAGTTCATTTTTTGTCAAGTACTAGTTTTCTATGGAAAGAAGTCAGAAATCATCACTAGAAGTAGCTTTTAGAATGCAAGCAATAGGTGTTGAACATATTCATGTTACAGTTCTACAAATGGAAAATATCTGCCTGTTACCTTGGCTATGGATCTGGCCCAGAACCTACACAAGAGTCATTAGAATCCAATATAACTGTAAACCCTCCTCAGGCAGTTCAATCTGCTGTCTTTAGATTTAGCTCTCCGTCACCCTGCCCCTTGTGTAGCGTTGTACTGTACACCGGTGCAAAGTGGGTGCAAAGGGTTACCATGTTGACTTGCTAGGGTTTTACACCCACTTTGCCTAGTGTAAATTACTACACAAGGGGCAAGGCAGGGGAAAAACTCAGGTCCCTGGCATTTAAAGACCCACGTGGACTTGCCCCAGACTACCCCAAGAAACTTGTCCACATTATTGCTTCTGCCCTTTAACACTATCCCTTCTCTGACTCAAAACATTCATTATGGTTGGTCTGACCACCTTCAGCTGCCATCTGAAACAATCTTCCTATCACCTCTCCTCATATGTCACCTCAAAACCTACCGAATGGAGTGCTCTGAATTGGGACATGCTGGAAACCAGCATCTATTGATTTCAGTGGGAGAGGTGTGTGTGCAAAATAACTAAAATGGAAGAATACCGTACCACTGAAAATACAAAACTATTCAGTGCATTTTCATTTTTCCTGTATTTAGTCTGTTTCTAGACTAACAGATTGGAACTTACATTTTCACAATATATTAACACCTGGTTAAGTACCACTAACCACGACTCAATTTGTCCCCTGTAAGCAGAATGTATGCTAATATTTTCCTGACTAAGGAGAATTCATTACCTTCAGTAGCATTAGACTAATAAAGCCAGTCATTCTGATTAATTACATCCCAGGCAAGTAGAATACATGGTCTCTCTCTCTTTAATATAGTTCTTCCATATATTCTGTACTTTCTCTCTCTGCTATTTATTATTTAACTTAGTTCTAAAGAATGGTGTGATGCAGTTTACATGAAAGATACCATTCAAAATCAACTATTGTTTTTAATAAAATGTTCTAGATACTGTCTTTGTACAGTACTTATTATTGCTTCACTTGCTCTGAAATGGGAGCTATAAGTGCATTGAGAAATGGTTTAAAGATTGTCTAATTTAACTGTATCCTCAGTAAATACCTGTTTCCTTCACTGAAATGCTAATACAAGACTCTTAAAGGAATCTCTCACTAAACACCCTTACACCATCTGCAATCACAGATTTGTCTCATTGGGCTTTGAGTTCAGTATAACAGAAAACCCCCCAACACCCAGACGCAGGAGCCATTAGAGGGCTGCAAAGCTATGAGAGGAAGCTGTAGGAGATCAGGTTTGGATCAGGAGGAAAACTTTTAAAGAAGCTTTGGTACCATTGTTTTTAAGTGATGAGCAGAACAGATTTAACAGAAAACTTGCTACACCAGGTGTATTCCTTAGCCCTGATGAGGAATCTCCTTTTAAAGCCAGTATTCCCAAAGAGATTATTTTACCTCCCAAACAAGGACAGACTTGGACCCCACTTATTTAAGGTTTCCCAATCCTTGTTTTCTTACCAGCGTGATGAACTCATTTCATGGAAGAACTAGGCTATCCCTATATCCAGAACAGATACAACTGAAATAGTCTCTTTCACACTTACCTGGCCTTTCTCCTCAATGCTTTAGTTTCAATGACTTTTTATTTTGGGTTTAGGATGGATTACTGTCCAAGATTAAAAACTCTCTGTGTTAGCAACAAAAAGGTGGCAAAGTGAGGAATTCCCTGTCCACTTCCCAATTTAGCAGCACTGAAGATATATACAATGCAATTAGCTGCTCTATCCTGTCTTTCATAAATGGGCTAAGAAAACACTTGCCACAGAGAGCTGGTCATTAGCTAAACAGATAAGAAAGGTTTTAAAGGAGAGATTTAGAGAATGGAACAATGCAGGGACTTGGAGGGAGAGAAGGGGGAATTCCAGACTGATGAAGCAGTTCAAGCGAAAGAACAACACTCCCCAACCAGACTGTGGGCAGTTTCAGGCAGGAGGGGACAATAGTGACTAAAATATTCCTTAGCCTGTAGAACACGGAGACTAATACAGCTATTTGCAGACAAACAGCTGCAAGACCCTGCAGCTACTGCCTCAGTAGGCACAGTTCTAATGCCAGTCCTTTCTGACACTGCAGCTAGTGGAAACATTTTTTGTTTTTGTTTTTTTGGGCGGGAAATTTTAAAAATTTTTTCACAAAAAATGTGGAAAAGTATTTTATTTTTACATTTAATTTCCACCGTCACCCCCTTCAAACCCCCCTTTCCATTAGCTTTGTTGAATGCTTCTGGAAATAGCATGGCCAACTTAATGCTAGGAGAACATTAACTTTCATTTAAGCATTTCAATTTGTAACCTTACTGATACTACTAATTTTTGTTTGTGCACTTTAACAGATATAATTACGTAGCTCATGATCTAATAAGCATTCAGGAGTCTGACATTCTGGAGAAAGGTCAATCCTGTATGTTTTGTGTAAGTGGCAGTTTCTGCTCTGAGAAGTAGTAGTAAGAGAACAGCAGGAATACCGTAGTTCTCTGAACTGAGCTGTATTGCTAGATCATGTGAGCAACTAGCACAGTACCTGCCCACCCTAGTCTAAAGAGTCTCCACCATTAATGAATATTAAATTTTTCTCTGCTTTTAACTATAAATAAATGAAGATGTTGCCTGTTTAGGCAGCGTCCAAACACTCTGACAGAAAGGACTCTCTGTGTAGAACAGGAGGCTGTAAAACTCCTCCAGATATTTTGAATACTGATTCCTGGATCTACCACTCTTTTATCCAAAAGGCGCACAAGGCATCCCAGTCTAACCCCCAAAATACCATGCACATACATACTCCTAAAAGCAGCGCCACTTGTGGTTACTCACCCACTGAAGATATTGGCTGTAACTTGACATAGATACAGAAGGAGAAAAACAAGTACTGGAACATCCCACTCAACCAAGTAAAAGTTGCACCTGAACAAAAACTCCCTGTAACTGCCTGCTCCCCCTCCGTCTTGCCTCACTGTCCTTCTCTTTGACTGCCTCTCCTAGTGGCTTGTGTGTTTTGACTCCAAGCTCTGGGAAGTGTGGTGGCGCTAGCGCTACTGGAGGGCTTATCAGAGGAAGAGGCTGAGGGGATGCTGGGCACAACTTCAGCCTTGACCTGCACAAAGCAGCACTGCCCTTTACTGCCCAATCTTGTTTTTAAACTCATCCCTTATTGTTTTCTTGCAGTGACACCTCTAGTATCTTATCTAAAGGGGAATTCTAATGGAGGGGACACCCGGACATCCTGGAAGGCTGGAAGAGAAGGGCAGATTGGTGCTAGCTGTTATCTCGGCTCCTTCCACAAGTCATATGACTTCATGATGCTCATTACGCTCCCCCCAGTTAATCACAGACAATTGGAAAGTTTTAACCGGAGGTGGTGGTGGAGGGAAAGACGAAAACTAAACCTCTCCTGCAGAGACTGCCCAGGATGAAGCACTGCTGTAATGGGAACATCAGTCAAAACGAAGAGAGGTATCCCACAATGGACACTTTCCACTGGAGAGCAAATATCCTGACTCCCTGAGTCATGAGTTTTGTACAGTCTGCTCAGTGCACAAAAAACATGCTACTTACAGTAAGTAAGTGCAGGCTGGGAACATGCTGCTTCATTCAACCACACAGCAACAGAGTGAGGGAAAACACGCACTGACTAAACAGGAAATGGGGGGGGGGGATGCAAGGGGGGCTATGCAGTTAACCCACTGAAGACCGCTTTACCACCTGATGGTACTATCAACAGGTCGTTAGTAGATATACCTACCTTCTACCCTCTTTTTACACTGAATGTACTTCAGCAAAAATCATTTTATTTTGCAATGTGCCTTTTTAACCGGTTAGTCAGTGGTTGAAGCCAGGTTGGTTGTCTGGGAAAGTCACAATCATGTGTTCTGCAGTTTGTGAGAAACAAACGTTGTAGCCTCCAGTGCAGCACCCAAAAGTCAGCTCCTTACTACACTCACCAGAGAAGCTAATGATTTAATGAGCAGAAAGGGGAATGATCTCTCATTCCTTGACAAGCCATAGCCTGGCAGGTCAGGGTAGTGGGTGTGCAGCTCCCCCCACAGCTTCCTCCATGGGGGACCCAGAGTCCTATGAAATGTAGGAGGTACCCTCGGCCCTTGGACAGACTCACCCGGAGTCGCTCAGTCCCCCTCTGTTCTGCCACCGGCCCGCAGAACCAGAACCAAATCCTCCAGCGGCAGGCCAGGCTATAGCTCTTGCTGAAGGGGATGGATTAGCAGTCTAAGTAGCCCATTTTAAACACCTGTGGGCCCTTTGTGCTATGTGCTTTGCAGCTGCCTGCTCCCCTCCCAGGCGTGCAGCAGGCCTTAGTCACCCGCTGAGGGTCCCCAGTGCCCCCTGCGATGCTCAGAGCCAGTATGTCTGGTACAGCTCCACCCCATTCAGAGTCCCAGTTCAAACTGACCAGCACTGGTGTGTAACAGGATTCTCCGCATTATGTCCTAACTGGTTCCAACTGGCTCATGCCAGAGCTTCTTAAAGGTACAGTTTTCTCCAGCTCGAGGATTAGGTGAGCACATATCTTACCCCAGAGTCTCTGTGCCAGGCTGTGCACTGGTACAGGGATGAATTTGACACCCTGAAACTACAGGTTCAAATCCCAGCAGGGATGACTCAGCCATTCCTCCTCCTCAAATACATAATTTGAAAACAGCAAAGTTTATTGGGAAGGGGAGGGAGAAAGCAGATTTCAGGGAAAAACTGGTATTGAGTACCTCACTGCTCTGCATAGATATTCAAGACCCTATACATATTGTATAAAAAAACCTTTTCCTCTTTCTCTTTGGGTAAAAATTGCCCTTACCAGTGTTCATAGGTGTGCACAGCCCATTTCATTAGGATGTGCACCCAGGGAGCCCCGCCATAGCCCTGCCCTAGTCCCACTCCCATCCACTCCCTCCTACTTCCCGCCCCCTGACTTCCCCCCTCAGCACCCCCAACCCCCCTGCTCCTTGTCCCCTGACCCTAACTGCCCCCCAAGACTCCATCCCCTA